CTCCGCGCGGCCGGCCCGTGCGCGGCCCCCTTGCCCCGCGTCATGCGGTGGCCCGGCCCTCCGTGCGCACGCTGGCGCCGCGCCGCGTCCTTGGCGCGCCTGGGCCGGGCCTTCCGCGCATGCGCGCACCTGCCAGCGCGGCGAGAGGGCACTTCCCACGGTACCCTTGTGGGCGGGCGCGCGTGTCCCTGCCTCGGGCCGCTGGAGGTCCCCGCTCGGTGCGCGCCAGAGGAGTCTCGCCCTGCTTCTCAAGTGTCTGTCACGGGCTTCAAGCGGCCGGAGTGACCTTGCGTGTCCGTCACCTCATGCCTTTTCCGCGCCTCGCCTGTCCCGACAAGCCCTTAACGATTCCCTTGCAACTGGGATTTGTCATGTGGCGCTGAGGAGGCCTGGAGTTAGTGGGGCGAAACCCAGCAAAGTGTTATTTAGCCAAGTGCATTATTAACAGCATTAAAGCATGTGAAATGCAGTGGAGTGAACCGCATGGTACCCACAGGGCGCTGTATGGAAGGAAGGAAAAGAGAACGAGAAGGAACTTGGGAAGCACGTTCTGTACTTCGGTGTGTCCCATCCTTAGGCGGTTCTCAAGTCAGGTGGCCACAGTCCATCACTGGGCAGAAGGACAGTCCTGGAATGGGAACATCAAGTCCCCATCCCTGGCTGCGTGACTCCAGGACAGCATTTGTCTGGGATTTGCAGTATCCTGCAGGGATGTAGGTTTGGGAAGGAGCAGGTTTTCACTTGCAGGATGCTGGGGGCAGCGGGACGTGTATGTGCATGCCTGCACACAGGCACGTGGCTGGGAATAGCCGGGCAGCATGGAGGCAGCTCCCTGCCAGTAAATCTGTGGGGGAGGGAGCACAGGAGGGGGGGAGGGCACAGATTGAGGCCCCCACAGTGAGGGAGGGAGCGTGGCAAGGGCTGAGGGCGCTGCCCAGCCAGGGCAGTACATGGGGCCTAAGGTGGGGAGCAGGCTGAAGCCAGAGGCGACTTGTGGGGTAGTGGGGCCTCCCCACTGCCACGTGCACTACCAGCAGGGAATGGTTGGGAGCATGTGCCCACCAAATTTGTATGCAGGGCAGGGATGGATGCAGGCTGCCTGCTGCAGCCTTGGGGCTCCCTGCCCTGCTGCCCACCCCCAGGAGCCCTGCATTGGCTGCACTGCCATGGTGAGGTGCCCCTTGCCCACCCAGCAGCAGCATGGGTGGCGGCAGCATAGAGTTGTTCCCCCCACTGCTGATGGGTGGATGGCGTGTGGCTGGCATAGGGCTCCTTTCCTAGTGGAAAGGCAGTAGGGTGGGGAGCCCCAAGCAAGCAGCCCACATCTGCCTCCATTCAGCTCGGCTCTGGCTCTGGCTGTGCCCCTGGTGGAGGCAGGTGAGAGGAGAGGCAAGCATGTGACCTGCCTTTCCATTTTGAAATGGTGGTCACCCTATTCTCAAACTACCAACACCTTTTTGATTATCCACAGAGTTCAGGCACTTCCTTATACCAGCTTGTACTGGTGCTACCTGGGCTCTTTGAAAACCCACTGCTAACAAAGGCAGACAAGGTTATTTAGGTAAATGTGATATCTTTTATTAGACCAACTGAATAACAATAGCTGGTAACAACATGGAATCAGACTAGTTGCCCCCAGAAAAGGTTACTGTGCTATGGGAAGAGGATCCAAAATGCCAGACAGCTCCATCCTTTCTTTTCCTAAAGAAATGAACATCTAGGGAATTATATTCAGGTGGAAAAGAAACCAGGCTTCATAAAAACTATGCTAGAAAGATATTTGGGATTTTGTGAATAAGATCAAAAGGAGAACGTATTTTTTTTCTCATAAGTACTAAATACTAACTGTTTCAAAGACACTGAAAATACCTAAATCAAGTCCAATTTTATTGCATTAGCGGTTGCTTTGACTGGAGTCACAAACAATGTTGCTAGTAAGAAGCTGAAAGAAGTGGGCTGTAAAACAACTAATGAATTAAGATGGAGTAAACACTGTTAAAACAGCTGAGCATCCCTGATTTGCTGTATCACATTTCAATTTTTATAAACTAGACTGGAGGTTTGAGGACTATCAGACCATTTTCTTGCAGTCCATGAAGAGCTGGCTACTCATAGGGCACATCTACATGTTTATTAATGCACTATAGTTACTGTGCATTAAGTTTAGTACTTTTATAATCAAATACTAAATTAATGAGCAGTAACCAGTGCTACTGCGCAGAAGTGCTGGCACGCACTTTTTTAGTGACACCACTGCACAGTAGCCTAAAACTATTGTGCAGTAGCATATTAGCAGTGTTTTTGATGTGACAGGCTACTGTGCAGTAGCCTTAGACATGTACAGATGCACCCATAGTGTACTAACTTTCCTCCTCAGTTCCAGCTGTTAAACCATATTAAAGAGAACTAAGTGACAGCTACTAAATTACTAATGTTTTCCTAATATTTTCCCAAGCAAACAATTACTGCGGTTACCACAGGTGCATACAATTGCTCAGTGAAAATAATGTTCTGGATTATCGTGAACAGGAGAGATGGGACATGGAAAAATTCTTTTAGAACATGGCCCAAAGAGATTAAGAGATTTAGACAGGTCTAGACTAGCAATGTTACAAACAAAAATATTATACTATGTACATAAAAAACTAAGTCAAGTCAAAGAAGATCCACTTGGTCTTTGTGAAACACGTCAAACATAGCAGGAACGAATGCACCAAAATACAGAATATACTTCCAAAACTTTAATTAGGGGGTTTCGAATACACGGTGGGAGATGCAGTGCAGTTTACTCAAAGACTCACTTTTATGACAATTAATATTTGACACTAGAGGGGAGGAAGGACAAGCCCACTTTGCCATAAATGAACCAATTTCCTAATTCAAACTTACAGCTGTCTCCAACTATCATATCTCTATATAAAAAAGAAATTGTTTCAAATGAGAATGTTACTTTATCAAAACTTGCTTTTCAAAATACTGTATTTACCCAAATCCAAGACAACTTTGAATTTAAAACCCTCTCAATAATTCGATTCTACAAATGGAATATTATAAATTTGTTACAATTTTTCATTTATAGAATCTCACTATTGGAGGCTCATTTTAAATTTGTCCACAACTGCTCATAGACCCAACTCTGCTGCCTGATCCCGAACCACCACTGCCTCCTAATCCCCTGTCCACTCCATGACACATCCTGCTGCCTCATCCTCCACTCAATCCCTGATGCATGCTGCTGCCTCATCCCTCACCTAATCTCCACCTGGGCTCCTGCCCATCCCTTACCCAATCTGGCACTCACTGCTGCCCCATCCCCCACCTGACCTCCAATGCACTGATGCCTCATTCCCTGCCCAATCCCTGGGTGCTGCTGTGCCATCTCCAGTCTGCTGCCCAATCCCTAACCATAGCTGCTGGCCCCTGACCCAGGCTCACAGTAGCTCCCACTGACTCCAGGACTGCTGACTCGAGACAGCCACGCCACAGCACTTCCAGAGGCTCTGGCCCCAGCACTGATATTCGAATCAAAGGCTGGTTTTCCTCCATGTTGAATGGAGGTGGGGGAGGAGCAACTTCATTTTGGATTTGAGTAAATACTATGCATTTTTTTCAAATTATAGATTCATAGATGTTAGGGTCAGAAGGGACCCCAGTAGGTCATCAAGTCTGACCCCCTGCCCTGGGCAGGAAAGAGGGCTGGGGTCAGACAACGCCAGCTAGGTGCTTGTCTAGTCTCCTCTTGATCACCCCCATGGTAGGGGAGAGCATCACCTCCCTTGGAAGCCCATTCCAGATTCTGGCAACCCTTACTTTGAAGAAGTTCTTTCTAATGTCCAACCTAAATCTGATCTCCATCAATTTGTGGCCATTGTTCCTAGTTACTCCAGGGGGTGCCCTAGTAAATAGAGAGTCTCCTATTACTTGCTGCCCTCCCCTGATGAATTTATAGGCAGCCTATAAATAATAAATTTATGTAATTTATAATTACATAAATATTTTTTACAGTTTCAGTTTTTTAAAGCTAGAACAGTGTTTTCAGGGCATATAGCTGTTCGAGGTGAAGTTGTGCACTTCCATGATACCATATAAGGAAATTTACTAGCGATCTATAGATTTAATATAATTTATATTGAATTATGTGAACAGTATTTTGAAAATATGAAATCTCCCTTCAGAAACAAGAGAGAAGGATTGTGATGTCACCTTAATGAAGAACAAAGTGTTCGAACATAAACATGACTTTCCAAGGCAAGTTGTCTTGGCTTTCTCATTGTGGCTGAGAAAAGCCCTGCAGTGCTTTCAGCCTGGCCA